GCCAGCGCGCTGCTCACAGGGACGAGATCAGCGTCAGGGTTCTCGGACAGGAAGCTGTCGAGGAAGCAGCCGTCCTCTGCGCTAGGAGTCCTTGCACTGAACCACCCAGCTGAGCTGGGGACGATCCACTCGTCGTGCTCCTTGGGGAAGTGAATCTTGTCGGGCTTGCCGGCTTCGCCGAAGACCATCTCCATGTCCAGCCGCTCGCTTCCTCCCTGGTGGTGGTTGACCGTGTAGATCCGGATGCTCTTGCTGTCTCCTCGCACCAGCCGCGTCTGCCTCCTCCCGTCCCTCATCGACTTCTCTCCGATCACCCCGACTTGCACGAAGGCGACGTCGTGGTCACCGTTGATGGTGATGCTCTCCTCGTAGTCGTGCGACAGGTGGAAGTGACCGCTGAACCACGCGCGGATGCAAGGATGCTTGTTGCACAGCTCGAAGAACTTGAGCCGAGTCTTCTCCTCTGTGTGGTTGATCCAGGCGCAGCCATTCTTGATGTGAACTCCTTGGAGCGTTCGCAGGCCGCTGCCCATGATGGGAGCGTGTGTGAACACCAGCACCTTCCAGCCGTCCTTGGCGCTGTGGTGCTCCAGAACTCTGTCGAACCACTCGATCTGCTCCTCGTCGATGTAGACCTCGTGTGAAGAGTAGGCGGTGTCGCGGAAACGAACTGTGGAGAGTCCGACGCAGAGGACTTTCTCCGCGATCTCAGTGCAGAAGTGGGGGGTCCTCTTCTTGAACGCCTTCATCCAGGCCTCCAGGTTCTCTCGGTCTGAGAAGAACTCGTCCACACCCTCCAGGTCATGGTTCCCCGTCACGATGTCAAGGTCGACCTTGAAGCTGTCCAGCCACTTCTTGGTGAAGTCGAAGTTCTCCGACGTGCCAGCGCTCCCGTACGCGCCTGACAGTGTCAGACGTCAGGGGGCGGGTGGCAAGTGCTGATGATCAGGGAGAGAGGGAGGGGGAGGAGGAAGACGATGAGAAGAGGGAGAGGTGAGATGAAAGGAACTGAGGGGAGGGGATTCAGAAGTGCGGGTCAAGGGAGGCAAGCTTGAGCACGGGAGGAGGGGAGGGAGAAGCACAGTCACTACAGGGGAGGAACGACCATACCGAGGTCACCGAGTGAGATCATGTGCGTGTTGGGTTTGTCTCGCAGGAGGTCCACGATGTGCTTCCTCCCCTGGAGCTGAGCTGAGCAGGGAGCATGCCCAGCAGGCAGTTGCATACCTCGTCGTGTAGCTCCATGTCGCTGGGATCAAGATGCAGGTCCCCCAGCACAGCCACGTGGAACTCTGGCGTGCAGTCGTGATCCTTGATGCTCTTGTCGATGGAGATCATCTTGGGTCCCTGCAGCTCACCCTCACCATCACCATCACCCGTCACCTTCCCTCCTCTTCACCTGCGACCTTGGACTCCTGTTCGTCATCCTCCCTGCACGGAGAGAGGCCCCAGGGCATGACCGGCAGCCAGGAAGCACTCGGCCCAACGCAGGGCTGAGGAAGCTGTGGGCGGGAGCAGCGAAGAGGAGCAGGAGACACAGAGCCTTCCGCATACCTGTCTGCAAACAAGAGGAGCTTTCAGTGAAAAGGAGAGGAAACTTCGATGGACGACAAGAATTGAAAGCATTCGCTATTGATATCGTTGCGATTCTATCTTTTATCGCTTCTAAACCACTTCACACCCATTTGTGAGGACAATCACGTCAATGGGTCACTGGCACGCATGCTCTGTACACATGTCGTAGCTTCGCGTTAAAACTTATCGCTCACAATATACACTTTGGTAAGAAGTTCTTTTGCACATATATGTACTCTCCAGCTTCTTCCTCTCATTGCAGTGATGCAAACTCAGCTCCGTCCCCTCGCTGCCTCACCTCCTATACTTCCTTTGCTTGCGATAATCTACAATGACTTTGCGAAAGAGCTGACGCCATTCTCCCTCAGATATCTTTATGCATCTCTGTCCTTCAACTCTTCTGTTTCGTCTTCTCCTCGGCTACTACTCATCATTCCTTTCTCCTCCTCCTCCTCCTCCTCCTCCTCCTCCTCCCCTTCCTCCTCCTACTTCGCCCCCTTTATATCGGCATTGGCAGGCATTAGCAAGCCTCCGCTTGGAACACTTTGGGGTGGGGTACTAATTTTGAGTGGTGGGGGTCCACGAATTTCTCGAGACACCCCACTTGATCAGATCAAATTACCTTTAGTAAAGGGGGGTAGTCAGTACCACGTCAAGTACAAGCAGGAGTGGGGTTCCGAATTCTGTTCATTGTGGGTGGGGTCCTAGTCCCCTATCTACATATTTCCACGACCCCACTTATGGCCCACAAGTGTACGGTAGGGTCCTCAGGGTACGAGAGAGTACTACCCGTTATATAGACTGACCAAGACTAGGTGGGGGTAATCATGTTTCTTGGGGACGATACGGGTACTTTTGAAGGAGTAAAGGGGGTGGGGAGATACTGAGGGTACCCAGAGAGACAGGGGTCCGAACAAGGGACGGGAGGGGGTAGGGGTTGTCCGTCCCTTCGGAGCCTCAACATGCCGGGAGCGGCGGTAAGGTGGAGGGAGACTCGTTGTGGAGGGCGAGCAAGCGAGTGAGGGGGGCAGAAGGAGAGCAGAACAGTAGATGTGAAGTGAAGAAGCGAGGAGAGGGAACAAGGGGATGAGATGGAGCAAGAGCCATCTTTGATTCGTTGTCGCAATGCGAAAACGTTCCCTATCGTTGGTTTCAGCTCGATCTTTAAATTAACCGCAGCTCCCTGACTGTGCACGTTGACAGGCTCCGCTGCTTCCTGCTAGGGCAGGGAAGGGGATGTTGGGAAGCTCTCGGACTTCCCGCGTGATGGCGGTACTCGCCTGTGCTGTCGTGCTTGCCGTTGCTGGAGTTTACTACTCACACGGACGAGTTTCTATGCTCTCTGTCGCGCAAGTAGAACGAGAGCAGCATCTTCAGCATCAGATATCAAGACGGGTGAGGGATCGTTGCGCGAGGCTCCTGCCCTGAGCGCTTCTTGCAGATTGCAGACCAGGAGTTGGATCATTTTGCCAAGCTTAATCAGGAGCTGTTTGCTCCGCACAAATCAGAAGCTCAAGCCAATGTGCACAAGCTCGTGTCCCACAAGAAGGCGCTGGCTGGGCATGCCTCACCCGCCCATGCTGCTCATGCCCATGCGGCCAAGGTTGCTGAACAGAAAGTTGAAGCGCATTCTGAACTGAAGAAGGACGGTACCAAGCTCGCAGCTAGCAGGTGCTCACTAGTGCTATGAACCCCGGGAAGCTGATTGCGCTCCTCCAGCTCAAGCAAGGATGCTCATGCTCATGCTCATGCTCATGCTCATGCCAAGAGCCTCCAGGTGCCATGACTCCACCCTCTCACGATCATGTCTGGTTCGTTGATCTCAACAACAGACCGTGAAGTCAACTGCTCCTGTGCAATCTGCCTTGAAGGACACAAAGGCTGTCAAGAACCTTGGAACGGATGTCATCGATGTACCAACGCACGAGTGAGATCTCATCGTGCTGATGATCAGTGTTCCTGACTTCTCTGGTTAGCAACGTTCACTTCGACGATGGCGATGTACATGTGCCTGGGGATGCTCTGAACCAGTACATGTTCAAGCACAAGCCACAGAGCAGCAAGGATCCCTCCCCGAAGCTCTCTCGTGCACCCAAGAGCTCGACCCATGACAAGGTGAAGCTCCTTTTGGTCCTCATCATTCCTCCTCCCCTCTGCCAAGGCGATCTCGTTGTTATGCCACCGGAATAGCTCATTATCCTGCCTTGTCTTCAGGCGAGACTTCAGATCAAGATCGGAACCAAGAAAGCTGAGCAGGTGGATTCACCCATGGTGCACCTCTCCTCGCACAAGATGGCTATCCCCGCCGATGAGATCTTCGACGTTCCGGCCACGAGGTAGCATTGATCTTATTCACATGATCCTGGTTAGAAGACGAGGCGCTGATGCCACTGTTGCAGCTCGCAGGGCGGGTTCGACGATGGAGACGTGCTGGTGCCCGGCAACGCTCTGAACCAATACATGTTCAGACAGGCGAAGCCCTCCGGCCTCCGCCCTGTCGTCAATGTAGCGACTGAATGATGCACGTGATGTTTCTGACTTATCTCAAAGTCTCAACAGCTCGAATGGAGCAACGGCTTCCTTGGCGAGGGTCCCTGGGCGAACGTTCCTGTCGCTGGTGAGATGTCAGGAGCAGGAGTGGGCGGCAACTTCGACTACGCCAACGGTGTCAAAGTCAAGGGAGAGCAGAGTGTCGCGCAAGCAGCCAAGAAGCCTTGCAAGTTCCGTTGCTCGGATCCCAACGGCTGCGCTGGCCATCCAGACTTGAACGAAGGAGACTGCGAGGAGACCATCGGCCGTGACTTCGACCTCGAACGTCCCAGCCACCCGACCACCTACGATCCCTGGAGCGGCAACACCAACTCCATCTTTCGTCAGATGCGAGGAGGCACGTTCCTGTCTGCCCGGCCAAGTGCCCTGATGAATCAGCGCCGAATGGTGCCGAGGTGATGAGGAGGGAGATGCTCGACAGTAGAGACTCACTGCTCCTTCAGTGCTCGTCCCCTTCCGGGACTTGGATCTTTGGCTCCTCCAGTTGCTCTTCAGGTTGAGCCACCAGCTGCCGTGAATCAGCGGATCTGACGAGCTGGCAGGCGCTGAGGAGGTACCAGGCAGCTAGAGGGCTCATGATGCAGAGGCAGCGCGCCATGCAGGCGCTGAGGTCAGAGAAGGAGCACTTCACGTCGCTCAGCCCTGCGCCCACATGCCTCGGCAACGGGACCCTCTGCGGGGACGAAGTGATCGACCTGCCAGACCGCATCTACGGAGAGAACCAGGGGGACGTGGTATTCCCTTCTGAGCAGATCGTCCCTTACATGTACCGGGGCAACACATACCAGCTGCGAAACATGATGGGCAACGTCGTGTACGGAGGTTATCAGCCTCGCTACGCTCCCTACGTTCAGGTTGCTAAGGCGCCGACGACCATGTTGGCGCAGAAGAATCTCGGTGACGAGGTGAGGGGTGTGAAGGAGGGAGAGCGGAAGACTGAGAGGGCTGCAGGAGATGTTTGGAGACGATGAAAGAGTTTCGGTCTCCAAGGTGACCTCGGAGAATTCCTGGGCGAAGGCCGTCAACGGCAAGAATCGCCTGGCGAGCGCAGTGAAGCTGAGGACTTCCAAGGAGCTCAAGAAGGTGCAGGGGAAGGCGAAGCTTCAGGTGAGCAGCACGCTGACTGCAGACGTGCTTCGTTGTGCTGACGCGCTGCTGGGCAGAGCAAGTTTCAGCAAGCGGTTTCTAGTGGGATCATCCGCGACAAGCTGAGACCTGAGAAGGACGTGGACGGGCTGCTGGACGACGTGAAGTGTCAAGTGACCGTTGTAAGAGTTTGACATGCGTCCCAGGTCGTCAAGGTCAGTGAAGACTTCGCTCAAGACACCCCCCGTTGGAACAAGTTCTTCTCTCCCCAGGCTGAGCCCAAGGTTAGGCCGGAGGAGTAGGGATGAAGAGGAGCTGAACACAATGCTGCAGATGCACACCACCCATACTCCGATCCTTGCAAGCAACCATTCCCTTGGAGATGAGACGATCGACAGCATGGACCAGGTCAACGTTGACAGGTGCCCTTTCCCGGCTCGACCTCCCTCGCGCAACCCGTTCTCACCTCCCCAGCAGCAACACCACCCACACGGGCAAGGACGGGGAGCTGAACTGGGAGAACTTCTTCTCCAACAAGCAGCAGGCCGGCTCTAAGGTTGCCGCACGTGCTGCACACGAGCCGGAGAGGTTCTACAAGGCGAGGCAGCTGCTTCTTGCGATTTCCCAGCTGACTTCGAGCTGGCACAGAAGGGAAAGGGCGTTTACGTCGGGATGTCCGCCTCAGGAGCCCGCAATGACATTGACTCGTGAGCCTCTCAGCTGGAGTCGAGCTGGGCTGACGTCATGGCAGGTACTGGAAGCAGCTGGACAAGGCGGAAGGGGTAGAGAAGAAGTGAAAATCCAGCAGAAGAGGGAGGGGGCGAATAGAAGTTGAATGATGTGTATCTTGAGGTTGGAAGATCGAGAGCGAAAAGGGGAGGGGGGGGAAGTGGAGGGAGGAAGGGAGACCAGGTGGGAGAGAGATCAGAAGGGAGAGAAGGACGACGAAGGAAGGGAAGGAGAAGGAAGGGAGAGAAGGAGGGGGGCGAGAGGGAGGGAGGGAGTGTTGCTTTGTCTTCGATCGTCATCCTGGCACTTTGAATCTCCGTGGCGAGTCTTCCCGCTTGAGGAAACGAGTCCCGTCAAACCTTCTCCCGTCCTCCTTCCTGCCTCCCGACGGAACCACCTGGGACTGGACCTGAGAGTCCCTCGAGACAGCTGCTGCTCTCCTTTTCTCCTCCTCTGAGTTCGGTCGGAAACGGATGAAGGGCGGGATGGTGGGTCGACCTGCATCACGTGATCAGGGCTAACGGCTCTTGTTTCCATCCCTCCTCCCTCCTCCCTCCTCCCTCCGTACACTTGCTCATCATCTCCTCCCCTCCTCTCCCTCCCACATTTCTCTCTTATCCTCCTCTCGAGCGCTAGATCTCCTCTCCTCTATTCCTCCGCTTCCATTGAATCTTTGGTGCTCCGACGGCTGTACACGGGCCTCCTCCCTTGCCTCCTCCCTCCTCTCCTCCCCAACGCGCTGAGCACCCCTGGTGTTGTTGGCGCTTCTGAACCTCTCCTGCGTCCTCTCCTCCTTCCCTGCTCCTCCTCCTCGAGGTGTAGAGAAGCCCATAGAAGCATCCCCGACGTGTCTGTAGCCGACGGGGTGCGTTGGAGGTCAGCTGAGCTGTCGAGGAGCGAGTCGTGGAGGAAGGAGGAGAACAGGTCACGAGCGACAATGCTCTCGTTATCCCTCTCTTCCTGCTGCCGCATGCTCGAACTGTCCTTGCCTGTGCTCCTCCCTCCTCCCTCCTCCTGCCTGCTCGCGCCCTGATTCCGAGCTGACTGGGCTGCGGCTCCTTCGGTGAAGTGAAGAGAGGGGGAAGCGTTGGGATGTCTGGCGACGACTTCGGACTTGACAGAAGGAGAAGCGTGAAGGATGGGACGGAGGTTGTTGGTCGCGAACTGACGGGGAGAGCCCAGGAAGGAGCCGCTCTGCCTCGTCGGATGACGCAAACTCCTCCCCTCGGGTTGGTCGCCCGAGCTGACGGAGGAGGGAGGAAGGAGCGGTTGGCGATCAGCATGGGGAGGGGGTTGGCGGGAGACCTGCGGAGCAACGGAGGGATGGTGACGAGCGAAGGAGGACGAGGAGGAGGAGGAGATAGTGGTGTTGGTGCCTTGTCCGACATGTTGCGCTCGTTGGTCGGAGGAAGCAACGTTGGATTCGAGGGCAGTGTGAGAGCTGGGGAGCAATCGAAGTCAGGAGAAGGTGGGGAGGGGCAGGGAGGGGAGGGAGGGGAGGGGGAAGGGAGGCCGAGGGAGGTGGCTGGCTTACGATTGTAGGTAAGCAGGAAAGAGATG